CTTTTTAATGTGAACAGCCATTTTTTGAAGAATTGGGTTATTAGGGAGAGAGAAATTGAATGCTTGAAAATTGAATATCCAACACAACTTGTCTTAATGTAGTCAAATTCACTGCTTGGTATAATTATCTTTAAATGTAGCCTTTATGATTGTATACAAAATTTGTTTTCGTCTGGCTCTAGTTAAAATAATAATCTTGTTATCTGTTTCTGTAAGATTTGAATAGGGACATAAAACCAATTTATTTTGACTTCAGACAAGTTTAATGTAAACATAACGCATTAAATAAAGAAAGGCATTCAAGCGGGATTTAAACTTGTACGTTTTTTTCGAGTATTGATTGATGTAAAACATTTATTTCCGCTGATATAGAATGTGTCTAGTCCCAACATAAAGTTATTTATCCAATCTAAGTATAAGGAGAATCGCTAGTGTCATATAAGAGACCGTTTGATGATAAAATGTCATATTTCAAAAATCATATCTATTTTTATAGAAAAGAAAACGATATCACAAAAAGGTGTTTATTTACAGCTAAATATAAAAAAGAAATATCTTTTAAAAAGATACTCGGCCGAAGTAGAACTGTTTAACATTCAGAAGTATGTTATCTTACAAAAAAAAAATGTTTGCAATGCTTGCTTAACAATGCCATGATAATTATTTCTTGTAGCTAGTAAGAAAATACCAATTTTTGTAAAAATTGAAATTAAATTATAGCATATTGATATTGATGATTTTCAAAGAAGAAAACTTCTGTTTAAGGTGTCCTTTTTACTTGTTTTCCATTTGACTTTATTAATTTTGTAATCATTTACAAATTAACGAGCTATCCTAATTCCTGTACATTTCATTTTAGAACTATCCTTTACATTTTATCTTATAGTGACAAAACTATCCCTTACATTTTATCAAAAAGCTATCCTTAAAATTTTATTTTAGAATGGTAAGAACTATCCTTTATATTTTTTAGAATGGTAAGAACTCTCCTTTACATTTTTTATTTCATAATGACCAATGAGATTCACCAAATTCAGTTTGTTTTTTTTAAAATGACCATGAAAAAATTCTTTCTAATATTCAGTCCTTCCCTGTTCATTTTACAGGACGTCAAACCGATAACAGACGGACTTCGTCCGAAAAAGATACAATTTATTACATGGAAAGAGGACAAACATGTATTGTTTTAATTTCTTAATAATAACATTGACTTTTAGTATTTTATGACAAGTTTATTATCAAAAGAGTTTCTGTTTCAGCTGAAAATAAGCAATAAGTCAGTATTTAAATGTTGTTTTGATACAGAAAAACACTTGCGTTACTTATATGTTTATATAATATGTAAAATATCTCACTTTTTGGCAATAGTTTATAAAGTGGATGCCAAGATCCAGTCTTTAAAAGTTATACTTAATGTTTCATCACTCGACCTTATAAAGACAGTAAGTGTGATTAATGACTTTTGTTTTGCTCTTTGTGCACTTCTAGAGGAAGAGGTTTCATTATTGCATACATAACAGCGGTTTTAATAAATTGTTTCATATCAGAAACCAATATTTTGGACGTTGTTTTAAAATCTTATAAACAAACATTTGCTACATATGTACATAAAATGCTTTGTAGTTTCTTTATCAGTACATCATTTGCTGTAATTATCTTAGATTTATTTGATGAAACCTAAGCCTAGGTAGCAAATGGCCTTTTTCTTTTATGTTTTTTTATGTTGACATAATGGGCCACACCTAGGATAATTTACGAACGGTTAGCAGATAACTATTTTTATTCGAAAGCTCTTTTTTCATACCGGAAACTAGACGTTGCATATACCTTTTATTGTTGTTTTGTTGTAAGGTAAAGAATAAACTGTCTGATATATTCTGACCATACGGATTGCAATAAAGGTACTCAATGTATATTTATTGTACATTAATTGCGCATTTAGGTATTTGTGTATTGCATTGCTTTATTGTTCATTACAGACAGGCAATTAATTTATTTAAATAATCCTATCAACATGTTAAGAGTCGTTTATTACTGTCATATTGATTGAATCTATTCGATTTGAAAAGCATATTATAAAATGTGCTTAATCTTTTTATCATATAATTCCTAAGTAATGAAACGATATGCCGTGTGATATTCCAATATCTCGGTAAAAACACATATAATCTCCCGATATATTAAAAGCTCTGTTTTGAAATCTATCATGATTATAACGATAAAGTTTGCATACATACAATATGATTTCCAGTGACATAATTTGTTCATATCCGGTAACATAGATATTAATGGAAATACTTGAAATGTCACCTACATAAGAATTCAATCAAAACAAATACTTTGCCAATAATGAACACTATTATACTATTATGTTTAATATTTGAGAACTATACATAGATACTGTATTAAATGTCAACAGTGACTAATAGGCCCATGAGGCCGGGTGTTTTAAATACCTTTATTAAAATATTTGTATATGATTATATTGTAAATAACACATGTCACTTTAATAAACAATTTACCTTATACTAACGCCTTCATCTTTACCGAACCATATTAACCAATTAAGCATGAGGTGTTACAGGTATTTAATGTACAAACAATTCTTTTCTAATGCAGAAAAGGTTTTCAAAACAGAGATTTTGTTTGAAACGTATCAATTGCTCACAGGCATCAGAACCAGGTGCCAAATTTAAAGTAGTCAATAAGCTTTATCAATTTAACTTCAAGATGTGTCAAGATACACGCAAAGTAAGTTGAGCTATAGCGTTCATGCAAGAGAAGAAATTGTCTGCGTTCTTTTACCGTGATTTTATGTCCAAAGTTAAGTATTTTTTTATGTATTCAAGTTGTAAATGAATATCAAACACATAGATTTCTGTCTCAGAATTTTGTCTCGAAAAGAAAGTCTTTATATTCATCTTCGAATGGTACTTATTATAATCATGGTATGTGATAATGCAATAAATCATGTATAAGTAATTGACAAGTGCATTTAAAAAATAAAAGCTCCTATTTGAACTTATTGACTGGCTGTTCCTTTTGTTGCATACTTGAGTATAAAAACCATTTCGTACAGCTGCGTAAGAAAAACTTCAAATATTCTGTATCGTGTAAGTTCAGTAAATGCATGAAATAAATATACAATCTTCATCAAGATTAGTTTGAGATAAACATAACTTATAAAAGAAAAAGTGGTATCACCATAGGATTTAATGATATCATTTGCTGAATCATCTGTCGATGTATTAACAACTTAATCAATTAATTCGGTACCACAATTTATTAACAAATTTACCGACATGATTTCAGTGTTTTTACTGGTACATAGGAGCTTTAAAGAGGCAGTTTTTGTCACAAATAGTCAAGCGCTTCGCTAAAACCTGTATACTCAAAAAGTGATATTCTTCTATTTTTAGATACACACTTTGAAAAAATGAGCTTACAATTACGTGAAATAAATAATAAATGGAAACATCGTTCTTCAAGTAGAAGCACAAATATCAGTAATTGCTTTAGCGTGATGAAGTGCCTCCTAGTTTCTCATCTTCTCAGGTTTCTAAATTTCTAAATGAAATTTTGTTTGCATTAAATATCTAAATTATATCAATGCAAATTACATTGTCACACAAAGTCAGCATACTATTAATTTATGCTTGAACTCAATTGAATTAGACAAATCGATAATAGTTTACCCGCCGGATGGATTATGTTGTTGACATTTGTACTTTGGAAAAATTACGGACGAATAAATGAGAACTTGTTCCAGACTCCGAATGTTGGTGCTGGTTTTAATTATCAGAGACCGGTTTAAAATGTTTAGATAATTGTTTTGATTTCAATAAATCATGCCAACTGTCCAGCGCAGTGTTATTTTAGTGCGCTCTGGTCCCTGCCAAGACTAAGCGTTCCCTAGTAATTAATGATCCCCATATTTAGAAAATCAAATTTTACTTTTATTTTCTTAGAGGGCGCTTCCTGCATTTTGGTTGGTCAAAACTGTCCCTAGAAATAATAATTATATGCAAATGCAAGATTTGCCGCCTTTCCAAGGTGCAGTTGAAAATAAGATTTCGGAATGTGAAGTACAAATCTTGTGAATTTCTATTTATTAAGTTTCGGGCACAGATACCATTGTTCAGTAAGTTTATTTTTGTTTTTTATTTGCCTTCGTTCGGGAAAATTATTGTTTTAATAATTTTTGTTCATAAATAATTACATTTATTATTGTTAAGGTAAATACATTAACAATTTTATGTTAAGATAGATAAAACTGTATCCTAGTTAAAAATGTTGATGTAAAAGTAAATAATCTGTAATTCTATCAATTAATAAATTTGTTAACATTACTAGCAGCAGGATTCCCACAGTATTTGTTAAGGATGAATTATATAATTATGTGACTTGTTTATTTGTAAGTATGTATGCATTCTTTGTATGTTGTTTTAATTGTTATTAATGGAAGTATAACTGTTTAACTTTCAGATAACCGCTATATACGCTATATACGCTATCTACGCTGTATACGCTATATACGTTAGATACACTATATACTCCTTAGACTATGTGTTGTTTCTGGAATAAAAGTGGAAAATATAGCGCGTGAATTGCATCTTTTTGTTGCCCAAACTTAGTGAAGCTGCCCATTACGACTGTGTCGTAGTGTCTTTGTAATTTGGTGTACAGTTGAAGTGAACACCCGTATTAACGTGTTCTCTCTCAGCCACCCACGTAATCTACACCGTGTTCTTACAGTTATTGAACAGTATAGTTCCTACAGTTATTGAACACCGTGTTATCCTACAGTTATTGAACATAATCTATTAACGAAAAGGTGAAAGTTTATTGGATTAAACAGTATTTATTTGGATTATATTTGTAAACATATATTCCGTATCATCAAAAGATGGCAAGTGACGTAACCAGTAACGAAGCTGAAGTCAATATGAAGAAGCATGTGTCAAGTTTCCAACGAGTATCAAAAGGCAATTAAAATTAAGATGGCGGCAGGCGAGTCCGCTTTCGAGCAGTTGCAGAAAGACCTATGTAACTACTGGCAGGAAATTGTTAGTGTACATGAGAGTCATGCGACGTCAATAAATGACAAACGGTACGAGGAAATGCACAAGCAGTACCGGGATATAATATCTCAAATCAGTGATTTGAATCAAGAATACACGAGTTGGGCAAATTCCGTTGTAACGTGTAGCTCTACAGCCTCACGCAAGCGGAGGGCAGAACTGCGCCTCCGCCAGCTGAAAGAAAAGCAAGAAACAGAGCGCAGAAGCGAAGAGGCTCGCCGGGAGCTCGAACTGCAGTCGGCCCGGCACGAGCTAGAACTTGCTGAGATTGAAGAAGAAGATTCCGATGACAGAGGAGTGCTATCCTTACCCGAAGAGCCAGCAACCGATGTTCGAGTTGAGAATTACGTGAATGACTTACCTGACAATGCAATTAGTGAAAATCTTTGTGATAATATACCATCAAGACAAATTTATTCTCAAAACGTTTATGGTTTACCTAAACCGGAGTTGATTAAATTTAGTGGGAATCCTGCTGATTATTGTAAATTCATCAGCAATTTCGAAACCAATATCGAGGCAAGGGTAAGTGACAATAGATTAAAATTAAATTATTTAATTCAATTGTGTCAGGGTGAAGCAAAATATTGTATCGAAGATTGTGTAATTTTGTCTCCGGACGAAGGCTATTTAAGGGCTAAAGAAATCCTTAAATCTAGGTACGGTAAACCACATTTAGTGGCCCGGTCCCATGTGGATAATTTAGTAAATGGCAGTGCCATAAAAAATAATGACGTAAAGGGACTAATGAACCTGTCACTCCATATGGAGAAATGTCATATGACCTTGACACAGCTAGGTTTTATGTCCGATGTGAATAATACGGAAAACCTACGCAAAATAGTTAGGAGACTTCCACTTCACATTCGGTCCCAGTGGGTCGAACGTGCAAGTAGCCTGATAGAGCAGGGGCTCGAACCAAGTTTTAACCATCTTCTAACCTTTGTGAGGGAACGGTCAAGTGTAGCCAATACAATGTATGGTTATGACCTTGCGAATGAGTCAAAACAAACAGCGAATTCGCAAAGAAATTCTCACATAAACCCTTCTCAGCGTAATAAAGTAGTTACACTGTCCACTGGCTCTGATAAGAGAAATTCAGGTAAATCTCCCTTAGAGAAATCCGCTAGGGACGATTATCATGTATTTATTGTAAAAAGGCCCATAAATTAAGGGCATGCGCAGAGTTTCGCTCCATTGATATTGATTCAAAGCTGAGAGTTATCAGAGAGCATGAAATGTGTGAAAACTGTTTGTATTTCAAACATGTTGCCGAAAATTGTAGGCAAAATAGTTTTTGTGAGGTTTCAGGTTGTACCGGGAAAACATAATACAATGTTTCACCGAGATTCTAGTAAAATCAACAAATTTACAAATGTTGAGGATAAATATGTTGCGGCTTCCGAATCGAGGTGTAAACAAAACAAGGTAAGTTTACGCATAGTTCCTGTTCGTCGTCGGAACGAAAACTATGCAAGTAGAAACGTATGCTCTCCTTGATGAAGGGGGCGATGTAACGCTTTGTAGCGAAAGCCTTGTAAAAAGGCTTGGGGTTGAAAGTAAACCATGTAAGTTCACATTAACTACAGTGAACAAGTCTGGTAAAAATATAAATGGCAAAGAAGTTAAACTACAGGTAAGTGCATTAAATGGGGGTCAGGTCATTGACCTTCAAAGGGTATGGTCTGTAAAAACCCTGCCTATATCCTTGCAGTCGTTGCCAGACCAGTCAGTGACAGGTAAGTGGAAACACCTTAATGGTATCAATTTACCGAAAATTGATGTAAACAAAGTTGAGTTGCTTGTGGGAAGCGACACCCCAGACGCATTTTGGGTAGAAGAGCAGCGAAGAGGGAATAAAGGTGAGCCCTATGCAATTAGGTCAATATTAGGCTGGAGTAATTATAGGACCCACATGTAATGGATCGTCAAATGATCAAGGTAGTATCAATTTTTCAGTTCGCTTCTAGTACACAGTTGCAAATCGATAAGTTATGGGCAACCGACTTCCCAGATGTCAAGAGCTGTGGCACAGGATGTCACAGGGAAGACCGTCGTGCACTTTTCAGTAATGAAAGGTACAGTAGTAAAGGAAAAACGGTCATTACAAATTGGGACTCCCGTGGAGAAACCCAGACGTAAGTCTTCCAAAATAACGTGAAGATGGCTACGGTAAGACTATCTCATTTGAAGCGAAAACTTCAAAGAGATAATAAGTTTTTTGATATTGTATAAAGAAACGGTGAATGGGTATATTGATAAGGGTTATGCTTCCTTATTAGATACCAGAACGGGATTCGAACCCGGACGTATTTGGTATCTACCTCATCATCCAGTTGTGAACCCAAAGAAAGCCGGGGTAAGGTAAGAGTTGTCTTTGACTGTGCTGCTAAGTATCGAGGCACATCATTGAATGACAATCTGTTACAAGGTCCCGACCTAACTAACAGTATTACTGGCGTACTTATGCGATTCCGGCAGGCCCCAGTAGCATTGGTTGCGGACATAGAAGCCATGTTCCACCAGGTAAGAGTATGTGAGCATGATAGGGATTCTTTAAGATTCCTTTGGTGGCCTCAAGGTAACTTGAACGAGGAACCAAAGGAGTATCGTATGAACGTCCACTTGTTTGGTGCAACTTCGTCACCAAGTTGTGCGGCTTTCTGTTTAAAGCGCACGGCAAATGAAAATTACTGATAAATTCAGTCAAGAAGCGGTAAGTACGGTTGAACGTAATTTCTACGTTGATGACCTTCTTAAGTCAGTATTAGACTCAAGTTCGGGAATTAGACTTGCCGCAGAAATGAAAGAACTTCTTTCTTTAGGGGGCTTCAGACTGACAAAGTGGCTCTCTAATTGTGAACATGTCATGAATTCGATCCCGGAAGCGGATCGAGCTCGGTCAAAGGAAAAAATAGACCTTGACAACGAATCGTCATGTGAGCGAACACTTGGGTTACAGTGGCATGTTAAGTATGATCATTTTGTGTTTGATGTAAATCTCCGTGACAAAGGTACGACAAGACGTAATATCTTGTCGGTTGCCAGTTCATTGTATGATCCGCTTGGGCTTGTTGCACCAGTGACATTAACACCAAAATTGATTCTACAACGTGCTTGTAGAACAAACCTAGGCTGGGACGAACAAATTCCAGATGCGGATGCTGAAAAATGGTTGCAGTGGCTAGCCAGCCTACCAGCACTATCGAAGGTAAGTATTAGATAGATGTATAATACCAGGTGAGCTTCGACAGGTCGACCTTGAAAGCTGAACTACATATGTTTAGTGATTCATCTGAGTATGCCTATGGATCGAGCGTGTACTTAAAAGTGTATGACGCGAAGGGGCACAGTAAATGCAGTCTAGTTATAGGTAAGTCTAGGTTAGCACCTATAAAGGCTATTTCGATACCAAGACTCGAACTTGCAGCAGCTGTAGTTGCTGTAAAACTGTATCAGATTGTCATAGAGGAGCTTGATGTAAAAATTACTGAAAGGTACTTTTGGACGGACTCTATGATTGTGTTAGGTTACATAAGAAATGAAACGAAAAGGTTTAAGACTTTCGTTGCAAATAGACTATCAATAATTCATGAGGTGACGTCACCACATGACTGGAGGTATGTACCCTCAAAGAGTAACCCTGCTGACATTGCGTCAAGGGGAGTTAATCCGCAAGAAACTGAAAGGCTTGACATATGGTTGAATGGTCCCGAATTCCTTAAAGGGAATGAAACAGAGTGGCCAGTGCAGGTAAGTAATGCAACCGTAAATGAGGATGACATAGAGCTCAAACCTCAGGCTAGTGTACTAAACACTCATGGTAAGTATAATTTGAGTATGAATACGTTACTTAGTAAGTTCTCCGACTGGCATAAACTTCAAAATGCAGTCGCTTGGCTACTACGTTTTAAGTGTTTCTTAATTGAGAAATACTTACCCCAAAGACGAAGTCTTTACAGTAAGGTAAGTAGTAAACCCCTTAGTGTGGGGGAAATTAAAAATGGCACAAACAGCCATCTTTAAATTAGTTCAAACGGAGGCGTTTTGAAAATGAAATATGTGAATTAAAGGCTCAGAGGCCAGTTCCGAGTTCGAGCCCTCTGAAAAGGCTATGTCCTATATTAAAGGATAATGTAATGCGAGTCGGCGGACGACTAGCAATGTCCGACCTACACGTAGATGCTAAGCATCAAATTATCTTGCCGAGTAGCCATCACGTGACAAAAATCCTGATACAAAACTGTCATAAACAGAATGCGCACATGGGCCCAGTACATATTCTGGCCATGTTGCGACAAAAGTATTGGATAATCCACGGTCTGCAAACAGTTAAGTTGTTATCGGTAGGTGCATAACGTGCAAAACGACAGTTACAACGACCGAATTGCAACAGATGTGCGATCTTCCAGAAGAAAGGTTCACACCCGATAAGGCACCGTTTACGTATGTCGGTGTCGATTATTTTGGCCCGATGACTGTGAAGTCTGGAAGACGACATCTGAAAAGATATCGGCTGTATATTTACGTGCTTGACCACCAGAGCAGTGCACATTGAAATTGCTCATAGCTTAGATACGGGACTCTTTCATCTGTGCACTGCAAAGGTTTGTAAGTCGTAGAGGCCGTCCGAAAGAATATTCAGTGACAATGGGAAAAATTTTGTATCAGGAGATAGAGTTTTGCGTGATAGCATTCGGCAATTTAATCAAAGTCGACTCGCAAAATTATGTCAACAGCAAGAAATAAAATGGCATTTTAATCCTCCATATGCAAGTCATATGGGCGGTATTTGGGAACGGTTAGTACGGTCCACAAAAAGGGCTATAAAATCAGTCATTGGAGAACAACTTCTCAAACGATGAGGCTCTGTTAAACTTTAGTTACAGAGATAGAAAAGATTCTCAATGATAGACGATTACCCAGGTAAGTAGTGATCAAAGGGATCCAGAACCCTTATCCCCAAATAAACTTTTGATTATGAGACCAAATGCTTCATTCCCACCAGGTTTATTTGATAAGCGAGATGTTTATTGTAAACGCTGGTGGCGACAGGTACAGTATCTAGCGAATGTTTTCTGGAAAAGGTGGGTTCGAGAATATCTGCCGACCTTACAGGTAAGACTAAAATGGCATAACATTCAAAGGAATGTGTCCGTAAATGACCTCGTTCTCGTCTGCGACGAGCAATTATCTCGGGGCAAATGGCCATTAGGCCTCGTTCTGGACGTAAACAAAGGTAGAGACGGACTTGTAAGGTCATGTAAGGTCAAGGTAAATTGGTCCGTGAAAGTACGGCCGATTACGATGTTATGTGTATTGGAACAGGAAACTGTTCATGCTAACTGATAACAATAGTCAGCAATTAATTAACGTTTAATGAGGCGACTTTGTTTGCATCGCTATTAAGACGTTACGATATTTTCAAACGTGTATATATGTGTGTAACATAATCTAGATTAGTAAAAAATTCTAGAACTTGTGAATGTTTTGATTATTACAAAACGAGTATTAAATTCTTCGTCTTCCCCTAATATATAAGAATGAATTATGTTAAAAAGTTCATTGTGTGAGGGCCGGTGTTCCAGATCCGAATGTTGGTGCTGGTTTTAATTATCAGGAGACCGGTTTAAAATGTTTAGATAATTGTTTTTGATTTCAATAAATCATGAAACTGTCCAGCGCAGTTGTTATTTTAGTGCGCTCTGGTCCCTGCAAGACTAAGCGTCCCTAGTAATTAATGATCCCCATATTTAGAAAATCAAATTTTACTTTTATTTTCTTTTAGAGGGCGCTTCCTGCATTTTGGTTGGTCAAAACTGTCCCTAGAAATAATAATTATATTTCAAATGCAAGATTTGCCGCCTTTCCAAGGCGCAGTTGAAAATAAGATTTCGGAATGTGAAGTACAAATCTTGTGAATTTTCTATTTATTAAGTTTCGGGCACAGATACCATTGTTCAGTAAGTTTATTTTTGTTTTTTATTTGCCTTCGTTCGGGAAAATTATTGTTTACATAAGTTTTGTTCTAAAATAATTACATTTATTATTGTTAAGGTAAATACATTAACAATTTTATGTTAAGATAGATAAAACTGTATCCTAGTTAAAAATGTTGATGTAAAAGTAAATAATCTGTAATTCTATCAATTAATAAATTTGTTAACATTACT